TGTACATTTACACAGAATTGTCTTTGCATGAAGCCCAAAAGGGAACAGCATAAAAATGAGTGTTTCTGTAGCCCCTTTATTTTTGCTGATCAACAGTTTGTTAGAAAAGCAGCTGCAGGTTTGTTACCTAAGGTCTGAGACAGTAGAAGAGTCAAAGGTGCCATGAGTTCACCTATAAAACATAAGCAAACATTTCGGTGAATGTAAAAATTACAAGTGAAACTATTACACGCATTCAAATGTTTAAGGTGAAAGACTATTAAGTGTACAGACATTTTCCCTTGTATCTTAGTATTTAGAAGCTCTGCTAGGCACCATAAGATACTAAAAAATTGTGCTCAGGAAATTGGTCTGCCTCACTCCTGGAAGACCCTAAAGTGTATATGAAACAACTATTTTCTTGTCACTGGCAATTCTATTGCATTTTTGGGCCAGAGCTGGCCAGCACCCACTCATTTTCAGTTTTTGGTAAAAAGCTGGGTGTTTCAAAGGCATGGAAAGGGAATCCTTTGGGACAAAAGACTTAACAATTGTTTTAGTAAGTAAAGTTAGTTTAACTCTTCAATGAGGTCAAACAACTAAAAAAGGCAAACTAATAAAATATGAAAATTCAGAAATTAACTTACAGTTAACAGAATTACAGAGGATAGTTTTGCTCTTGTATTCAAACCTGCCAAAATAAACCTATAGAAGAAAAAATCTACCTGTAAACAATTTTATGCTTGCACGTCAGCCAGTTCTGGAGGAAGAGGGGTCTTAGGATGCTTGCTCTCAAAGTGCTGCTTGAAGGTCTTAGGGTCTGGCATTTGTGTCTAAAAAGTGTGCAAAAAAGGGTCAGACTTTGTTCTTGACAGATAATTATTACAAAACACTAGAGGTTCCTACAACTCAGTTGCTGACATGAAGGACCTTATGAAAAACAAATTTCTAACATTTTTCCATTTTATATATGAAGAAGGGGGTAAGGTCACACAGAGTATTTTGTCTCAGAAACAAACAACAGGAGCATTTCTGAAACCTTCATATGGCTAAGCTTATTACCTTAATTCTCATAGAACCTTCAGCTACCCTTTGCTCCTACTACTGTACTCATTTTACACAAGAAGGAAACTAAAACCCAGGACTGATGGTTTAACTTGGTCCAGGACTGATGTTTTAACAGCTCTAAAATAACACATTACTGTATATAGTAATGGTGTCCCTCAGAAAGACTATTTCTCAACAGGTTCAAGTACAACACAAACATCAATTAAAAGGTTTTAGTTTTTTCAGTTTCTAAATGTGAGCTATTCTTATACTTTAAAGGCAAACAATTTCTTCACCACTAACCTTGTGAAATTTATTTTCACCCTCTTTCTAAACAGAACCACAAGCTGCTCAGTTTCATTATTTTTAGTGTACCAAAGCTCAATGTAAATCAGAGGGTTCAGATAACCAATTCTCTCTTTCAATGTAACTTTTGAGCGTTTTTTTGTTTTTTGGTACCAGAGATCAAACTGAGGACATGGCACTTGCCAGGCAGGTACTTATGCCACTGAGCCAACTGCTTGGTCCTCAATGTGAACTTTTGTATAGTGAGGAACTTTTGTTTCACTGGTGACTGAAGATGACAAACTTCAGTTGGGAAACCTCATGTTGCATCAAGACCCACTGGAATAGACACTATCAACCCTACTCAGGTATGCGGCCTGGAAACTATCTGTGTGCACAGGCACAGTGCAACTCCACTAGGCCAGCCTGAGTACTTCCATTCCTTAACATCTAGGGCATTGATGAGTCATCACAAACACTGGGATCCGAGACTGCTCTATGGCAGTGAATAGAGAAGTAGTTTGGCAGGTGGACTCGAGAGCCCCACGCCCTGTGTTCAGATTCCAGCTCGCCTATGAGCTACAGGACATATGTAAATTATTTTATTTAATTCCCATGACTGAGTTTGCTCTTTTGTACAACAAAAAGTGCGACTTTCATAAAGGTGTTATGCAAATTAAACAGGTGGATATATGCAAAATATGTGGGTTGGTGCCTAGCACATGGTAAGCACACACAGTAGATGTTGTTACCCCAGTCTTTATTTACTATCTATCTATTTTTGCAGTACTGGGGATCAAACTCAGTACTGGGGATCAAACTAGTCTTTAAATGTGAAACATAATACTAGGGAGAACCCTCAACACAAATATACTCTTTGTGGTTTTATATATGTTTAGTGAAGGGTAGGCATTACATAACTATTGACATATTCAAAAGCACAAGTTGAGTCAGATTTAAACTAAGAATCCAAATCCGATTCTCTTACAGAGTTCAAAGTGTACTATATGTCCTTGCTGAGGACACCTTTACTCTCCATATGGAAAGAGACTTTGTTCTGTTAACATCTCTCACCCACAACTCAGAGAAATGTGCCTGGTTGCAGAAGCCATGCAAAAAATATTTGTTGAATGTGAGAATAAAGATGGGATTCTTAACCAGCTGTCAACTCTATTTCAGGGGTTGCAGGTGTAGCTCAGGAGCAGAGGACTTGCCTGGCACATGCAAGGCCCTGTGTTGGATTCCCAAAACAACCTCTCTTTAAAAAACAACCCTATCAAATAAACCAACTATTTTTTCATGATTATAAAATTTTAGCCTTACAAACCAATTTACAGTGAAAGAATTACCCACAAGGAAGCTATGTCTTTCAAGTCCCCTTACCCTGCAGACAGTGCAGGTGTATATTAAGGCAGCTTTGGCAGCAGCCTTTTGATCATGCCCTTGTTTCTTCTTTTGTCCAGCCTGCTTTTTGGCATTTTTTTGCTGAGACTGAATCTTCTGCTGCCCACGAGCCATATCTAAAAACAGAAAATGAAACATTATTTATTCTAATAGAGTAAACTAAGCATATTAACGTTCTCAGCTTTGAACCTTAAATTTTACAGAAAGAGACAAAATACGCACGTTTTTGAGTTCTCACATACAATGCTACTAAAGTATAAACTGATACTACCACTGTGGAAATTCAGTAATTGTCTATTGTGACCTGCAATTTAACTCTGCACATACTCAGCAGAATGTATGTACACAAGGACACGTACAAGAATGTTAAACAGTACCTGTTCCAAAAATAATATCTATCTATCTATCTATCTATCTATATATACATATATATATATATGTTGCATAAAATTCAAAATACTGTAGCAAGGGTGGGGGTGTGGCTCAGTGCTAGAACATCTTGGCCAGCAGGCAGACAGGCTTTGGGTTGAAGCCCTCAGGGCAATGCAAAAAGAAAAAGAAAAGCAGCAAGCCAAACGTAAAACACTATAGTCTCCTCAGGAATAACAGGAAAGAATACTGAGAGAGCTCCCTCAGGAGCTGAAAATGTTCTAAATATTGAACTAGGTAAGAGGTACATAGGTGTGTTTATTTGTAAAAATTCACTGAGCTAGCAGGGCTACCCTGGCATTCATCTATAATTCCAGCAATAAGACAGGCTAAAGCAGAATTATCACAAGTTCAATTCCAGCCTAAGACACATGGCAAGATCAACTCAAAATTTAAAAAATGAAAGGGTAGGCAATGTAGCTCAGTGTGAAAGCCTTGGGTTCAATCTCCAGTAACATGCAAAAAAAAGTCATTGAGGTACACACCTGATTGCTTACTGAATGTAATCTTCAAATTAAAAAAAAAAAATTAAGTCTCCCTATCTCTTATTTGGTTAGCTTGTAAAGGGACCTTTCCTCTCCAGTGTTTACTGCTGTATCTTGGACACATTCAATTTTAAGAGAAACAAGAGCTGTCAACTAATCCTTCTAAAAAGAGATCACTGGAGCACAGAGGAGCTATTCTCTTAAAATACTTAGGTTCCATGAAACAACTGTGCTATTTTAAGTTTTCCTAAAAACTTGGTGTTTATTGAATTGCTTCACAAGTTATAAAAGACTGAATTAGTTCCCAGTTGAGTGAAAAATTGAAAAGCACATACAAGTTTTTACTAAGGATTATCTGAAGACAACATGAATGAAGTAAGTCACAGAAAAGTTACTTTTGTGTTCTCATTAAAACTAAGGTCCTTATTAGACAATACAAGCTAAACCTATTCATAAAGTACTCTCTCTCAATATATTCAAACTGCATCCAAAGTAGAATTCCTGTATATAAATTTGAGTGGCACCATAATTAAATTTTAAAGCACTGCAAGACATGAACATACAATGCTGGACATAAACTTCACTAGGAAAGAATGTGTGCTGGCATTTTCTTATTGGAGCCCTAAATAGATAATGCATATTAAGTCAAAGTATTTCACAGAAACCAAGCTCCCTCCAAACAACACAGGAAACTGTTAAGTACACTAAGTGGGCAAGTTCTCACTAACATTAAACAAAACTGCAAGATTAAATATAGAAGAGGATCAATGCTTATCAAGAAAGTCAGTAACTTATCAGTTACCAAAGTTTATTAATGCTAAGGTAATATAAGAATGCCATTCCTAAAACTAAGCAGCTACTTTTTTTTATGCCTTCCTCATTAATTCTAAGCCAAATGGCATTTTTTTTTAAAAAAAAGTACATTTAAATATATCTGGGTGATGGTAGTCAAGTGTTCAATCTTAACGTACACAAATGTTTTATAACATTTTTAATGTCTCAATGTCTCTAAGTAGCAGGACTTTGTTAGAGTACTGCAGTACTCTGATACATCTTAACTTCCAATGTATTTTATTACATTGTATTTACGTTAATGTGTTACTTGGCCGACACATTATTTTAAACAGTACCACTTCTTTACAATTAAAAATTTGATTGTACACACACACACACACACACACACACACAAAAGCCGCAGACCCCAAATCCCGTAAGCGTCCTTGCTGTCTAGAACTTCTCAACTACTTCGTAAGATTTTCATCCTGTGATCTGTACAACGTAAGGGTGCAAAATGTATTATTACATGGTAAGTTGAACCCATTTTTCTATTGTCATCTAACAACAGTAACTGAGAGTCGTGACAGCTTTAATAAATATAAGGCAGCAGTTATTTGTTCTTACTTTTAAGACAGAAAACAGCATCAGCTAAAGGAAATTAGGATAACACTGAGGGGTAGGCCCCCAACTTCTGACAGCACACTGCACTGATTTCCTTTTTGAAAGTAGAAATGCAAACGAGGCACCTGCTTCGGACAGCTCAACTTAGACTTGCTCTGAAGCCAACCGAATTTTCTAAAAGATCTTGTACACAACCTCTTCTTGATTAAAAGCCACAAACCAAAGGCAAGAGTCATCTACGAATACCTACATGCTGGTTTTTAATGACTCTCGGTGTGGCTCTGCAAGGGGGCTGCAAGAGGGAAGTAGCAGTCGGAACGAGTCCTAAGACAAGGAGCTCTCACCGAAGGCCACAAGAAAACTCTGCCCTTAAAACCCTTTCTACAACCAAAACAAGGATTTGGGATCCAGGAAGTAGGCTCTTCTGCGTAACCACCGGAAAGGAAGAGGCCCAGGGGGGGTTCCACATTTGGACCCCAACTTCTGAAAGCAGGGGTCGCGGGAGCACCCGAGCGGGGTCCCCTTCACCCGGTCCCGGCGCGCCCCGGCTGCGGCCCGAGGCCGAGCCCTGCTGCTGCAGCCCCGGGGGGTTACGCCGCGCCGCCGTCCGCCGGTCCCCGGCCTTGAGCCTCGGGCGGATCGCCTCTCCAGCGGGCGGGGTGACCGGCCCGCGACCCGGCCACCTGCAGGACGCGGCGGACGCCCTCTCTCCCTCCCCCTCCCGCCGCGGAGCCGCCGGCCGCCCCCGCCCCGCTTCCGGGGCCCGCGCCGCCGCCGCTCACCCGGGCCGGGACAGTCTTGCGTCGGGGAGGCCGCGCAGCGCGAGAGCCGGGAGCTCGCGGAGGAAGGGAGGGGTGTGCACCCAGCACCGCTTCGGCCTCCTTCACCCGTCGAGCAGGGGAAAGAGGACCGCCGGGAGCACAACAGCCCGCGCCTCGCACACCCGCTGCCCCCGCCTCGCGCGCCCGCCGCTGCCTGAGCCTCAGGCCGGCCGCCCCGCCTCGTGCGCGAGCACGCCACGCCGCGTTCCCAGACGCCCCAGCGCTGACTGCGCCGCGCAGCCCCGCCCCCTCACCTTCCTGCAGCAGTCCCCACCCACCCCGTGCGCGAGCCGGTGCCCTTCCGGTCGCGGGGGCCAATGGGAGTGCGGCCTTGTTACATAAGCGTGAGGGGCGGGGGCGACGGAGGGCACTGCTGCGGACGTCGCCCTCGGTCCCTGGCTCTTCTTCTCTCCCACGTGCGGACACGGCGGTGACTGTCTCGGCGTTAGCGGCCGCGTGATTTCTGTCGCGACTGTTGCAGTCGTCGGCTTCCTGGGCTAGACTGGGTCTCTGCCCCCACGGCCCGCCCCACGCGCCTGCCGCCTACGCGCCGGTCGCTCGCCGGCGCCCAGCCGAGGCGGCCCGCAGCGTCCGTCGGCGGCCACTGGCGCCCGGCCCCCTCGGCTGCTGTCCCCTTGGAGGCCCAGGCCGCGCGGCCTTTGTTCTCCCACCGGCTGCCCTTTGCATCACCCCACGGAAACCCCGGTTATCTTACTAACTTGGGATTTTCCGGTGAGGTCGATATTTAAACTGTCTGACGTCACATTAAAAATTTCAGCACAGGCATCTTTGGCAGGTTTAGGCTGACTGCTAACAGGATAATATATTGACTTGCTGATACCTTCAGGAAAGAATTCATGCTTTACAGGCCACAGCCGTGAACTGCAAAGACCTCAAAAGCGATGACAGTTGTAATACTGTAATTGCTGGCAACAGTGTTTTCAGTATTGGCTTTATTCTGTAGCTTTTCTTTCACTTGAGTTTCTAATTAGAAGCATTGACCACGACAAAAAGAAGCTTCTTGCACTTGAGGGACTCACCAGGCCAATAGCCTGGAGTCTCTCTAAGTTTGCCTGTCCATGTCCAGCAATTAATTGATTATGAGTATTTCCCAAAGCACCTGGACTGGGATACAGTTGGCCTAATTATTTAAATTAGCCAGGAAGGAATTGCATTTGGGTGGGGTAAAATACCAGATGAAACGTTTTATAGTTACCTGGGTGAGCTGTCTGTCCTTACCCTCATTTGCAACTCCATTGCAGTACAAGTTATATATTTAAATCTTGTTAATCTCTGTCCTATACTGAGTTGTAACTCATTTTCTTAGCCATACATCCAATGACGATCAGGGTGTTAAGCATGGTAGGCACTGAGCAAATGGATATTGACATAGTTGTTTCTAAAGAGCAAGTTTTTAAAATTGACATGTCAGAAAGTTGAAGCTTAATGATTGTCACCGTAGGCATAATTGTGTTAATCCAGCTGGTAGGAGATGAGGTTCTTGGAAGAACTTGAGAACTCTCGAAAGAGCTGTTTGTCTTGTGGTGAATGGCAGTGGGAAGGGACAGTGAATTCTGGCTGGCAAACATTGCTCTTAACTAGAGAGGTGACTTCTGCTGTGGAGTTGAATGAATTGGTCAGTTAAAAAATCTTGACCAAGATGAAATATCTATGAGAAACAGTGTTTTAAGTTTCTGTATTATCTTTCCTTTGACAGTTTGGGGAAAGCTAGACTGCTGCCAAGAAATTAATATACACTGCACATATAAATCCCTATAGGTAGGGCTTCTGAAACTCGGTATTGCTGGGATTTGGATTGGATGATATTTTGGGGGTCTGTCCTGGAGACTTTAGGACATTCAGCAATATCCTTGCTTTCCACTTGTTTCATACCAGTAGCATCTCATCTTCAGTTGTGAGAATTAAAAAGTTCTTAAGATGTTGTCAGGCTTTCTTTGGGGGCCCAAGTCTCCTTTAGTTAAGAGCCGCTTAGGATATGTGTAATGGTAACTTTTTGTGAGGATGGGGGCATTTGAAATAGGAAGGAGGAGAAGTGGGAGGGGGAGGAGGAGGAGAGAAGGAGAAGAAAAAAAAAGATAAAATTCAGTATCTGTAAAATGACAAACAGTAAATGAAAGGCAGATGAAATAGCTTTAGAACCAGCTGGTGTACTGCTTTTATTATAGAAGTGTGACAGCAAATGATGTGCAAGCCCCTTACAAGGAGTTTTTCAAACACTTGTGGTTTTAATTGTGAATTCTACAGTACTCTACTGTTTTCTGACTTTGGACAACTGCTCTAGGTTAACCTGCAATAAGCAGTTATCTGTTTCCTAAATCAAAATCAGATGAAAACACTTTTCTGAGGACCTGAAAGGCTTATTTATTTGTATTTATGTAGGATTTTCCAGGGTGAAAGAGCTGGTGAAAAATCAATACCTTATTTCCCAACTAAGCTACTCTGTATAACTTTTTCCAGTTTATATGTGGCATATAGGTTAATATTTAAGGGTAGTAAAGAGCTCTGCCTGGTGGTTTATTAGATAACAAAAGAGACAAGTTCCAATCCCTGTAGAACTATGATGAATAAAATCAACAATAACAATAAACTTAAAAAAAAATTTCCTTTGCTGACTTTCACTCTTTTGCTCAACTTGGGATTTTCTGGGGCTGCAACCTCGATCCTCTTGTCTTCTCTATATTCTTTCCTTAGCGGGAATCTCATTTACTGTTATGGCCTTACATGTCAAACTGCAGATGACCCCACATTTGTTTCTGTAGTTCTGACCTCTGTTCTGATTTCTGTATTCACTTGGCCAAATGCCTCCCTCTTGTCTTCATTTTGATGTTTAATAGACATTTTACATTTGATAACCATATTTTAGCAAATCTAGGAAACCAATGATTGTAAGTCTTAATTATATCCACTAAGATACAGGGAATACTGCCAAGTGGTTATGTTTACTAAAATGCTCATGACTGTAAGCTACATCTTAATTTCAGAGAGGGAAAAATAGGTTTGAAAAATTAATGGAATTTTTAAAAGTAGCATCAAAAAATGAAATACTTGGAAATGGACTTAGAAAAAGAAACGTAAGACTTATATTCTGATCCCAAAACAACATGTGTAAAAGAAATTAAAGCTCAAATAAACCGAAGGACATCTCAACTTCAGAGACCAGAAGAGCTTAATATTATGACGATGGTAGCAACTCCCACATTTATCTATAGATTTACCACAATCTCCATCAAAACCATAAGTTTTTGCATAAATTGACAAGCCTACATTAAAAGTCATACAGAGATTCAAGGAATCCAGAATAGCCAAAATAATTTTGGAAAGCACGAAGATGATGAACTCATACTTTCCAATTTCAGATGTCACTACAAAAGTACAGCGATTAAACCACAGTATGGTTCTTGCAATAGGATGGGCAAGTACATCAATGAGATACAATTGAGAGCCTGTGAATATACCTGCTATGGTCAACTGATTTCAACACAGGATGATTCAGTGCAATAGGGAGCAGTCTTTCCAATAAATGATGCTGAAACAACTAACACCCACATGTAAAAGCGAAGTTGCACCCCAATTGCCTGTCATCCACAAAAATTAACTTACAATGCATCAAAGACTGAAATGTAATCCCTAAAATTATATTTTAGGGAGAAAAGGTAGGAGTGTGAGTTAAGCAAGACCTTAAATATAACACAAAGCATTAGGACAAAAGGACAAAAGAAAAAATAGGTAAAAAGATCATTCGTGCTTCAAGAGGTATACATCTAAAGGATGAAAAGCCTGCTCACAGGATGAGTGAAAATATTTGCAAGTTATATAACTGATACATGACTTGAACCTAGGTCTCTAAGAAACTCTTAATTTAAAAATTAGAAATTTAAAGTGAATGACACTAGCCCAGTATGGTGGTGCATGCCTGGTAATCCTAGCTTGGGAAGTTGAGGCTAGAGGATTGTTACAAGTTTGAGGCCAGTCTGGGCTGCATAGTGAGTTCAGGACAGCTTGGACTACATAGTGAAACCCTGTCTCAAAGGGAAAAAATAAGTGAGCAACAGATCTAGTTAGATACTTCTTCAAAGGGGATACTGAAATGGCCCCCAGTCACACAGAAAAATGCTCCTCATTATGTGCCAATGAGAAATGCAAGTTAGGACAGGAGACAGTACTTCTCGCTAAGATGGCCATAATCACAAGGTCGGTGGTAACAGTATTGGACTAGATGTGAACAAACAGAAAACATCACACCTTTCTAGGAGTTTAAATGGTGCTGCTGCTGGAAGATGATTTGGAAGTTCCGCAAAAGTTTAAACAGACAAGGGTGAAGCTCAGTGGTAGAGCATGCATTTAAGATGCACAGGGCCCCTGGTTCATTCCTCAGTGCAATAAAAAAAAGTTCCTTGGTGAAATGAACTTTGGCTGAGGTGTAGTTCGGTGGTACAATCCTAGTGTGTATGAGGCCCTGGTTTGATTCCTAGACTCCACAAAGGTGGAGACATGGAGTTACCCTATTCTCATCCTAGGTATGCACTCAAGAAAAATGGGAATGTATGTCCACCCAATAAATAATTTGTACACAAATGCTCAAAGCAGATTTATTGATAGCCAACAAGTAGATGATACAAGCCAAGTGTTCTGCTGATAAACTGTGGCATGTCTATAAAATGGGCCGTGACTCAGGCACAAAAAGGAGCAAGTTCTGAAACATAGGTGCACTCTAAAACACTGTGCTAAGTGGAAAAGCCAATCACAAAGAAACATGTGTTGTATCATTTGATTTACATGGAATGTCTAGAACAGGCAAATTTCTGAAGATAAGCAGATTAGCCTAGGGTTACATGAAATGGGAAAAGGAAGTTACCAGTAATGATGGGGGACTTTCTTCCAGGGATGATAAAAATATTTAAAATTGATTATACTGATGATTGCACAATTCTATAAATATACTAAAAGTCCTTGAGTTGTACACTTAATATTTATGTATTTGGTACAGGGTCTTGCTATGCAGTTGGGACTCTTAGTGATCCTCCTGTGTCAGTTTCCCCAGTGCTGGGATTATAGACGCACACACCACACCCGGTTTCAGCACTGTAAATGAGTGAACTGTATGCTTTGTGAATCATATATAAATTACACACACACA